TTCCTTTGGGACTTGGTATTCCAGTGACTTTTTTTGCAGTAGCGTTTGTTTACCTTTTGTTTGAGGGACAGATGCCTTGTGGTGATGCACCAGGGGAACTACTTCATTGTTTTATAACCTGTTTCTGCTGGACTGAGAGCCTCATTGTAAGCAGAGTGATGCGCCACGAAAGGGGAATCTACTGATTTTCTTTTTTTTTTATGATTTTTATTATCCAAAGGATCTAAAATCTCATTGTCAAATGTTGCCAAGGGTTGATTTACATCCAAGATTGCAAGGTAGTTTTCAGTTAAGAATGGGTCAACTGGAACAGCAACCTCTCTCTCCATTACAAAAAAGCTAAAGATTTGGACTTTACGATTATGAATGAAAGTAGGACGACTAGGAGTACTTTTTATGTTAGTCTATAGTATGTTAGAAATTACATTTATTTATTTTTAAATAATGCTTCTGTGAAATTAATCCTTCCTCAGTAGCATTTCCTGGTGACAAGTTATAAAACTGCCTTGTTACACAACAGCGTGCTGATGTTTATTTTCTTTTTGATACCCAAAGGTACACGTGTTAAAATTAACAGGCATATGATGGGAAGCCGGGATGGTAATCAGGGCTGTAACGCGTGCATCGGAACAGTTCGGCCTGTTTTCAGCTGCCCGAGCTAGCTTTGCTTTCTGCTTGCTCTCCCACCTCAAGCTCCTGGAGATCAAAAGCTTGTCACACCAAAGAACCATGAATGGCCCAGGCTGGCACATGGCTCTTGGCATTCTGCACTCTGCCCAAGTAAACCATGTAGAAAATGGCTTAAATGGTGCATAACACATCCATGAGCTGGACCTATAAATACTTAAAATACTTGAGTGCTATTCTTGTACAATTGCAAAGCCTTTAAGTTCAAATGCTCAGTTTAGTGTTCGCTAAAAGACTGAATCCCAGGAGCCTCTTTTCTCGCACTCTGAAAATCAGCTCTGTCTGCTGGATAGAGCTGGAGTCTTTTTGTCTCTCCTACCACCACTCAGCCAAGGCTTGGTTTGAGTCCAGATAGTTCGGGTTTAGATGCAGCTTTAGAATTCAAATGCGGTTGTTCAAAAAGAACACACTAGAACCACCGACGTCTTGTTCACTGATATGAACAAAAATGGTATATCACGACATTTCAGGACTCACATTAGGAAAATACAGAATGATTCTAAGTAGGAAACAAGTCCCTTATCCTGTAATTGTCTGTGACTAACGAATCTTGAATGAGTGAAATGTAACCCACGGCACCATAGGCTGGAAAATCGGGGTGCCTGGTCCTATCTAGAATTGTGTCTTTGAGGCTCCCTGATTCGAGGTGTCTACCTCTTTTCACAGATGGCAGCAGCCTCCCTTCTGAGAGGACCAGTGGAGGACAGTTCTAGAATATTTAAGCATCTTAAGCCAAAAGGCCTAGATGGGAACAAGGATTAGCATTATTATTTCATTAACTGGCTTTCAGGCAAATGCCTTAACAGTGTAATGCGGTGCCTAAACAGAATTAAAAGCCTTTAAGCACTTCATAGAATTGAATGTCCACACTGTTTATGGCAGAATGGTGACAGCAAAATGGATTTAGGGGTGTAATATCTTGTCCAGTTTGGATGCTGAAATATTCAGACCGTCCTTTCTTCTTTTTTTATTTTTTAAAGAATTTGTTTTTACTGCATAGGAAATTAATTCAATTGTAGAACAAATTTATTCTTAAAACATGCTAAATTCAAACTTTCCACAATGCCCTCTGTCACGGTGGTGAAGTCTATGACTGGCACAGCTGTACCCCAAAGCAGTAAATTCAGCTTCTACAGGGCCACTGTGTGAACGGTCACCCGATAACTCC